GGAGTTAGTATTGTTTAATAACAAAGATATATTGGTGGACGGGAAACCCATCTTTCTAAGTGAATGGTTTAAATGGTATTCTATCGATTAATTACCTATTGAGTGACAGCGGCAATTTTTTAACATTCCACGAGTTCCGTGATATATATCCCTGTGAATCCAATTTTTTACAGTATTGTCAAGTTGTTAGCGCTATTCCGGAACGCTTAAGGTCTCTAGCCAAGTGATCCGACATCATCAACAAATCATTTTTTACCGGAAATAGTAATATCTTTTCCCTCAACGAATCGACACAAATTAATCTGTACAAGACTAATTCAAAGGACTTCTATAATTTGCTTAACGACAAGATTCACACCGAAGATCAAACGGGCCCTAAACGTTGGAGCGAAAAACTCTCTTTCAAAAAGGACCTATAGACTAAGATCTTTAAATCAATTTAAATTAATCCATTGAACGATAGAAACTAAGAAAGAATTATTCAGATTTGGTATTAAGGCGGACGATGAATGTCTATACTACGGAGATAAAGATTCAATTGAGCACTCTTTTATCGAATGTATGTTTACCAAATTTTCTACCCAAAAGGTCTCGAACTGGTTCAACCAAGTGAATGCGCGTCAAATTTCTCCTACCACAGAGGAGAGCTTGTTCGGTATTACTGCAAGCTCCCACGACATAGCAATAATACAGAATTCAACTACACTGCCTTATGCGCCATTATATTTATTCAAGCAAGTTAAATAGCCTGGCCATCTCCATTCAGGATTTTATCAGTAAGCTATTCATTAAATACAATCTTGAAAATTTATCATAATTAAATATTTTAGTGAGAAGTACTCCTCCTCCTCAAAGTCGATATATATAGATTACTTCATAGAAAGTGCCACGTACGGATTTTTATTCACGAGATGCAAAGTTTTTCAACGAGTGAATAAAAATCCGTTCAAAGCACTTTCTATGTTGTAATTTGTTTATTGTATATATGTCTGAATTTATGAAACCCGTGTCAAATTTGGGGCAAAACTTTCGCGCCCGCCTGCCGGCGATAGCCGGCAGGGAGGCCTTTGCGGTGCTTGAAAAGCCAGGGGGGCTTCCGTCAAGCAG